TCAATTTGCTAAATACTTGAACTATGATCTTTCATTTTATGTGTTATCATTTCAATCTTTAGACTGGAAATAATGTTAATTATGAGTTCTCCTGTTGCTAGGTTGGATAAACATACATGAGACGTTATTAATGGAAAGCAATGGAATTATAAAACATCTCCTTCGCCACCACTTACTTGATGCTCACTGGCCTTGGGCTCAGAATTTGCAAGGTAGAAATTTCCATTAGCTATTACATATTCCCGTCTGGATATGAGTAGAGCCGTGTTGCTAGGCCAGATGGTCAGGCCCAGAGTTGCTTATTTAAGCAGCAAACACACAGGCCAAAGTGACTCTTCTTGGAATCGGGAATGTGTGTGTGTGTGTGTGTGTGTGTGTGTGTGTGTGTGAGAGAGAGAGAGGAGAGAGAGAGAGAGAGAGAGAGAGAGAGAGAGAGAGAGAGAGAGAGCGCTTCACCTGATTTCACAGTCTCTAAAGAAGCTCATATTTTTCTACCTTCATTCAGCTTTTTTCCGCCCAGGTCACCCCTCAAATATTCCAAAACTGTACAGGGTTAAAAACTTGCATGGACCAGTTGAGTTTTGTTCTTATTTTCATCGTTATTAATCTGACCAATTCGTCTAACCATTCTGGAAATGAAGACAGTCTAGAGTTTGTTACAGATAGTCCATGATTGGACCTGAGGACCCGCTGTCTGCTGTTAATACATTCAGCCTAGACACATCTCTCAAACTCTCTGAGGTTTAGTTTCCAAATATACAAAAAGAAAGCAATAACTACTAACCTACCTAGCCAATGACTTAATATGTTATTTCTACAAAAAACAGTATTTTGGAGCAAATAAACCCAGACCTGGAAGCTATGTATCTCTTTCTCTCATTTATTGCCTGGCATATTAAATTTCACTCTGGAGGGGGAAAATGAACAATAATGATTCAATTTACAAAATACAACCTCCAGCATCAACCACCTCATCTTTCTCGTCTGCTTTTTACTACTGTGCACATAACATATGGCCATACTTGAAAAGGAGCAGACTCCTTCATTCCTTTTCTCTACAGACATAATGTTTTTATGAAGTCCTTCAAGAAGCTTGGTCTGAGTTCTGTTGCCATGACTACTTTCCCATACCAGCATCCCCAACATCCTTCTCAGCCAGTTGCCGCCAAGAACAGTTTCCTCCTCAAACTGCCATCCGAGGACACAGAACTATACAAACTCATCCTTGCTAACAAGGAGGCACTTTCTTCTAAAGCTGGACCCAAGTTATTTGTCACTAGGTTTTTGTTTTGGTTTGTGTGGTTTTTTGGGTTTTTTTTTCTGGTTTTAAGGAGAAAAACTGAATCCATGTGAACGGTGACTGATGTTTTATATTATGGAATCCCATGGAGACTTGAGGACTATTCTTGGCTCCCAAAGCTCTCCCTCCCTCACAGGATGCTGATGAGAATGATATCGGCGTGGCTGTTGATGAGTTTAGTGGGATAAAAACTGAGGGACAACACATGGCACATGGTGGAGAAAGACTTCTCAGGGGTACATGTCAGAGCAGTGTTTCCTTTAGACATCTGACTCTACACTGTATTCATTTCCAGTTACCTTCAATATCTTCCTTATCTGGACTCTCAAGCCTTTCAGACTGTTATATTTTGTTTTATGATTTTTGTTTGTCTGGGTCCCCCCCCGCCCCCCGCTTTCATTCAGATGAGTGCCATTTTTGTCTTACTTCTAGAACATAAAGTCCCAAGAAAATCTACTCTAATAAAATGAACATTGAACTAAAAGTTATGAGACACTGCCTTTACTGTTCACTGACTCCTTTAAATCAAGAGGACAAGTTGTAAACGACTTTTTTTAAAAAAAAATTGTCATCTCCTGTGCTACAGGCTCCTTAGTGCTTCAGAAAACATAAAAGGCACAGATTTACAATCGCTTTGAGCAAATTGCCTCTAGAATTCTAAGGACAGGAAATGAAAAAAAAATGCAGCACCCACCCTTGGACATTCCATACAAGATGTAGAATAGACAGACCCAAGAATACCAAACACTGAACTGGCCTTTAAGAGAATTAAAAAACAAACAACAAACAAAAAAGATAATATGCTGAATAAAGAAATCTTTCAAACAAGTGGAACTGACCCTGACAGAAAAAAAAATAATAATATATTTCCCATTTTGTCTAAAGGGGAGTCCTTTGAATGTAGATCAGTTCTGCTACCTGTGTAGACATAGTGAAAAAGAAGCGACATGTCACATAGCCATGCCTCTTAAACCTTAAGAGGATGCAATGCCATGGAGATTTGATTCTTGAAATCTGGCTGGAACCTGAGATTCACAGTCCCCTGGGTGAGGCTCACTTTCCTTGGGCGACATGTCCAGTGATCTGTGAGCCACAGCTGGTGTACAGTCGGTGGTAGTTCTCTGGTCCTTACATCTCTTGAACAGTTGTTTTCAGTCATGGATAATTTTGACTCCACAAGATTTTGGCCATGTCTAGAGATAATGCTGATGGTCAAAACTCACAGAATGCTACTAGTACCATGTGTACTGGAGCCATGGATAGTGCTAAGCACCTTTCAGCGCAGCTCCTTATGACAAAACTGCCTGCAGTGCCGTGGTTGAGAAACCACACGGTGGAGGCAATATTCTGTGCATGTCTCCTATGAAAGAAATCTGTTGAAACCGTTCAAAACATCAAAACTTTAGAAAAAAAAAAAAAGGTCAAGCGCATGTACTAGAAGCTGGGAGCAGGGGGTGAGCACTGTTTAAAATGACCCCCGGTATCTAGAAGAGGATGTTGGGGATGGTAGACAGCTGTGCTCCATCGCCCTTGGGGAATGAAGAGGAAATGTACATAAAAGGACCTGTCCTGGCTGCCTACTCTTTGTCTACTTTCTTCATGCCAGCCAAGAAGACTGCTTTGTGAGCTCACAACCATATTTGTCCTGTGTGTCTTCCTATGCTCAGAGACCCTCCCAAATCCTGGGTAGGAATTTTCTTCTCACTGCCAAGTCCCATCTCCCCCTTACCTTAGAGCATTAAAAAGTCTTCTTCCTTTGCTAGGATGAGATGGCTGCCCGTGCATCTCCAGCCACAGCTGGCATCCTTCCCTCTCCAGCATGTTATCTTTCAGACTATAAACATGTTACTGCCCATCTGTGTAAGAGGAATTGTGCCAGATTTTTACAAAGGATAAAAAGATGAGTAAGACTGTCTTCAGTTTTAAGACTTTCCTAGTCTGGGGGGTGGGGAAGACTCCAATAGATAATAATATAAATATTATTTAATGGTTATCTTGGTAAGAATTTTTTTAAAAAAAATCAAAGAAGAGGTTAAGGAATTAGAAGATCAAGACAGACTATATAGATAGATCTATGAGTGGAAAGAAAGGTTGTGTTTTTTTTTCTGGAAATATTTTCTCTAAATTAAGTTCAAATCCAGTGCATCAAATAAATACTTGTTAATGTTGATGTAATTTGAAGGTTGTGAGTTAGAGCAAGCTGGATTTAGAGCATATTTATGGAAAAAGTTTAGTGTGAATAAAAGCCAAGAGATTAGATGTGTTAAATGTCCTCAGTCTATAGGAATAGAACAGAGAAGTTTCCAGAATCTGTGTGGTTGAATCTAGTTTTGAGAACTGATGTTAATAACCTCTGAAGATGCCTTGGAATGTACTATTGTAAAAGGTGGTGATCTTTGAGAAGGGTTGTTGGTTACATTCAGGATGGGGATATTGAAACTTATAAGTCTATTTTTCCAAACTAGAACCAAATGAGGAATTTGGTACCCTCCTTCAGACCTTGTGATTTCAGAACCTCTGTACATGGTCACCCTTCATGTAAAACTTGTCTTTCACCTGAATCACAGGGAAATCAAAGAGATAAGCTCTCATTGTGTGTGTGATGTGTACCAGGCATGGACTAATGAGAATACTACCTAATTTAATCCAAAACGTTTGTGAGTTTATCATAGTCAACACTGGTGCAAAGAGGCTTTTTTTTTGTTTTGGTACAAAATTCCATCAACTGCTTGTTTCTCCAAGATAAGCAAAACTTATCTCAGGCCTGCCTAGGAAGCCATCCCTGAGTGGAAACAATCCTCTAAAGACCATGCAAAGGAAAGGAATCCTTTGAGTGCAAAGGAAAGGCAATTTCCTTTCAGAAACAGAATGGAGAAAGCTCTTGCCAGGGAGGTTTAAATACAACCTGCCTGCATCTCCAGACCTTGCAGAGGGGAAAGGATGCTGTTTAAAATCACCGCTGGTCACATTATACTGTAGGGATCACTTCTGGGAATGTATCTGCAAACTCATTAGTCATTTTAAATTTCTGTGACTTCCACTCAATCCTGAAATTTTACTTCTGGGGATGGTACAGATACTAATTTCCAAACATTTAAAAAAAAAAGCCAGCCTGTAGGTGCTCAATGAGTAACATCCTATCAGAACCTTGCTTGAGTTCTCATTCTCTTTTTTTAATTTTATTTTATAATTTAATTGTACATATCAGCCATGGATTCCCTTGTCCTCCCTCCCGCCCCCCCACCTTCCCCCCAGCCCTCATCTCCTCCAGGGCAAAGACTCCCCTGGGGATTCAGCTCAACCTGGTAGATTCAGTTCAAGCAGGTCCAGTCCCCTCCTCCTAGGCTGGGCCAAGTGTCCCTGTATAAGCCCCAGGTTCCAAACAGCCAGCTCATGCACTAAGGACAGGACCTGGTCCCACTGCCTGGATGCCTCCCAAACAGATCAAGCTAATCAACTGTCTCACTTATTCAGAGGGCCTGATCTAGTTGGGGGCTCCTCAGCTATTGGTTCATAGTTCATGTGTTTCCATTCGTTTGGCTATTTGTCCCTGTGCTTTTTTCATTCTCTTGAGTTTCAATTGTGCTTTTCCATAAGAGCACAGCTTTCATTGGTAACCCTAAGAATGCCATCCGTAATCCCAAACACGATGTGTTCTCCATTAACCTTGTGTAACTGGACTTTCTTTCCCCTCTCAAAGTTATTCTAGGCTTCTGCATATCCTTCAACGTTGATGTGAAAAATTCAATGAGTTTCAGTGGCCCAGTGGAGGACATGTTTGGATACACTGTTCAACAATACGAAAATGAAGAAGGAAAATGGTAAGCATACAGGCTCTATTGTTGTTTAGTTCTTTTCCACAAAAATGGAAAATATTTTCAGCTGGTTTTATGAATGAAACATTAACTGAATGACTCATTTGTGCTAGAAAACGTATTCTAGTGGGGCAGTGATGGAGGCTGACGTGAAGTTAAAGAAGCAACATTCCTTGGAGTTTTAGAGGAAGTGGTTACACATTTCTGCTGGTTTATTACTGGATTGACCTCAAGGAAGTTTCTTATTCTAGCATTCATTCACTGTGTTGCTTTGGCAAGTGTTCCTGGGTTGTTCCTATTCTAGAGTTACTTGAATAGTTGACTGAAATTCATTAAGAAGGAAGTGGTAGGAGATGAGATGCCCAGAGGGATGCAGGGGCTTAGTTTTTTTTTTTGTTGTTTGTTTGTTTGTTTTTTGTTTTTTGTTTTTTTTTTTTTGTGTGTGTGTGTGTGCACGCGCGCGCTTTGGTGATATACTAAGTGTTGTCTAAAGATGACAGTGAACCCCAAGGTGGGGAACCTCATGAGTAAAGGTAGACCTTCAAAGACAAATAACAGCTCTTAGAACCAAAAACAGAGCATGGAGAAACCACTGGAGGTTGTTTCATTAAATATAATTTAGGAAATTAATGTATATCTGACGGGATTGCCTACAAATTAGGAAATCTGCCTGCAAGCAAGACCCTAATTTAGTACTTAAAAGGTGAGATTTCCTAGGGTCTAGTTGGACAGCCTGGAATCCTAGTATGAGACATGGAGATGGGGAGATCAGGAGTCCAGGGTCATTCGCCATTATATAGGGAGTTCAAAGCCCACCTGAACTATTTGAAACTCAGTTTTGAAACAAAATGAAAACAAATGAATGAGTAAATAAATAAATACAAGCCAAAAAGAGAGAGGAGGCCCCAAGGCTACCCTAGGGGTGACTGGAATCAAATAAATGTGTATCCACATTAACTTATGAATCATTAAGTTTTGACAGAGCTTTACAAATAGAAAATGAAGGGAATAAAGGGATGAGAAGTATTCCAAAATTTCTGTATTTGGAATATTGGAAAATAGGGAGTCACTGACAGAGACATTTTTATATACAGACATATAAAGTCAATCTTAGGGGAAGTTGATGAGTTTATTTTAAAACAGTTTGAATTCAAGATGGTGTCTAGTTCGTTAGAAACTTCAAAAAGGAATGCTGATAGGTAGAGAAACTAACAGTAGAAAAGAAATGAGCAATGATTAGTTGAGTGCCCACCCTTTACCTTGTACTCTGCCCTGTTCTGACATGTAGCTGTAAACATAACATGCACTCAATGGTTATGTACTGACTAAGTAGCTAAATCTTGTATAACACGTTCTTACCATCCATGAAGCGTAACTACATGAAAATAAATGAAGAACAGTTCTCCAAGAGAAATGGAACTGTTTCAAACAGTGCTAGAAATGGCCCTCAAGGCTCTCTGTGCCAATTCCCTTTCTTAGAAATGCATTAAAAAGTCAATTTTGATCATCACTATTTTTGTGGTTAATACCAGATTTTACATATCAGTATGTATGTGAGAGCGTGTGAACATTTTGGATGTATATGGATATTTCCATATACATATTTCCATATTTCCAACGATATTTATGGGAAAATGAAAAAAAAAACAACCAAAAGGGTATGGATAACTGAATTTACAAATAAGAAAATTTCCATCCCAGAATTCCCGAGCAGTAATGGGTGGCAGGCAGCCAGCTGTGGCTCTAAAGAGACCCAGGCACTGGTGATGTAGAAAGATGTTTGGATATTCTACAAGTGTTTATAAAACTGGAGAGAATGCAGGCTTGCTCTGGAAAATACGCTATGGAATAACTGGCATCCTTTGGAGAACAAGGATTCTGTTGTTTTGATTTTCTTCAGGGGTGAACATCTTCATAAGTATTTGCTGCCCATATTTTAGAAACCTGTCCAATTTAGGTTAAAAAAAAAACCAACCCATTCTGACTCATCTTACCTCTTAGCTGCACCATGCCTAAAGAAGGAAGGAGTTCTTCTTGGGTCACTGTACGTGTGTCCCCTGTGTTTAAAAAACATTGCTTAAATTCTTTGGAACGAATCAAAACAATACCGAAGTAGCTTTATGTCCTCTTTACCTCTCAGGAGTTTACTGTCAAGTGTAAATTTACTTTATGACTTTTGCCCAGAACCCACATGTTTTCTCAGTAACAGAACACATCATACCACTGATTAAGATCAGTGTTGCTCATCGTGGCTAGCATGAGTTGCAGCGTTCAAATGATTGCAATGTGGTGCAGAAGAACACAGAAGAACATAATTGGCCTAATAGCTTCAATTTGAAGAAAAGTGATTAAACAACGCTTGGCCCAGCACAAGTTTTTGGGAAAATGCAAGACGTGGTTTGGGGCTTTCCACTGCTCTCTCTTGGCCCCTTATTTCTTCTGTGCTGGACTTTTTAATGACCATCCAGGCTACCGTGGAGGCTTCCATGACTTCACTGGACATGTTCTCCCCAGTAGATGTCAGGTTGTAGACAGATATATCCCTTCAAATCCAATCCTCAGCTCAATGTGTATATAAACTCCACTGTCCTTTGTGCAATCTAGAGAACACTTCTTAGAAGAAGAAAACTGACTGAACATCCCAGGGTGTTTCTTCACATCCTTGCCTTGTCATAGGCTAACTATGCAAACCCTGTGGCCATTCACTCTGTGTCTCAGTTTCCTGTCAATGACATGATGATCACAGCAGCATCTGGCCAAACTCCCAGGGTCAGGGTGAACACCTGAGTCACGGTGTCACAAGAGCTGTGCTCTTTACTACTGAAAATTTTGAGTCAAGATGACTTTTCACACTTTTATTTCTATGGATTTGTTTGTTGTGCTAGGAAAGGGTACCATGGCTTGTGTAACTGGTAGTCTGCATCTACTATGTATATCTTTTAGATAAAAGGTACTCAAGCTCAGAGGGAGAAGGCTTCCTAGAGTTCTTTTATAGAGTCAACATAGTTTTTACTTTACACTGTTTATGATGCCTTTCAAAACAGATATGTCCTCTCTGCCAAAACTGTCATTTTGGGGGGTTCATTTCATTTACAGCCTTCTGCCTTTTTTTCTCTTATCAAAACCAGAATAATTAATAGGATCACAGTACAAGTTTCATTTCTGAGATCACTAAACAGTTGCTCTATTCATAAAAGAAAAAACAAAACTGGCTGACAGGAGTTATGGCAGTCTGAGAGTGACTTTGGCTGGCTGGATTAGACATCAATAAAGAGGGAGGTTAAAAAGGGTGTTATGGATTAATGTATATATGAAAAAACCCTGTACATGAATTTTTCCCTTACATGACATCAGAGATCACCCACTCTTCAAAGAAATATAGCCATGGTCACAAATAACAAAAATGTCAGCTATGAACAGCACATTTTATCTCAGCTCACTAAGCTTCTTATTATGACTGGAACTTTTACATGGAGAAAAGATTTTTTTTCTCTCACTTTAATGATTCTTGAATTCACTGAGGGTTTCTCTAGAGATAAGTAATGATATCTAAAACATTTTTTCTCTTCACCTACAGACAAGATATTTCAAAATGTTGTATATAAAACCAAAATTTAGGCTGACCATGGTGGTGACTCCTTTAATTCTGGCATTCATGAGCCAAAGGGCTAATGATCTCTGTGAATTTGAAGCCAATCCGGTCTACACAGTGAGTTCCAGAATAGCCAGAGCTTCAGAATGAGAACATGTCTCAAATCAAAGACAAAAACAACAAACAAATCCACAGAAATAAAAGTGTGAAAAGTCATCTTGACTCAAAATTTTCAGTAGTAAAGAGCACAGTTCTTGTGACACAGTGACTCAGGTGTTCACCCTGACCCTGGAATTTGGCCAGATGCTGCTGTGATCATCATGTCATTGACAGGAAACTGAGACTCAGGGTGAATGGCCACAGGGTTTGCATAGTAAGCCTGTGACCAGTCAAGGATGTGAAAGCACCCTGGGATGTTCAACCAGTTTTCTCCTTCTAAGAAGTGTTCTCTAGAACCTTGAACTGGTGAAATGCCTTCTGTGATCCAAAGTCCTGTGTGAACATTCTAGAGGCAAAATACCCTCTAAAATGGAAAAAAAAAAAGACAAAAAAACAATTTCATAATCCAAGAATCTCAATTGTTCATAAAACACAAAATCAGATCTCACTTATTTTCATTTATTATTCTCACTTAAATTCCCCCTTTAATACTTTTTATTAGTTAATTTAAATTTCCCCCAGCCCAATCACAGTTTCCCCTCCCTACCTTCCTCTTCTCCTCCCAGTCCCTTCCCCATCTACTGCTTCTCCTGTCTCTTTAGAAAAGTGTAGGTCTTTCATATATATATCAGTCAGCCATGCATATCATGTTACAGTAAAACTAGGCAACCCCTCTCCTATTAACACTGGACGAGGCAACCCAGTAGGAGGATGGGGTCCCAGAAGCAGGTAGCAGAGTCTGGGATAGCCCTTGCTCCCTCTGTTAGGAGTCCCATAAGAAGAGCAATCTACACAACTAACATGTGTGCAGAGGACCTAGGTCAGTCCCATGCAAGTTCTCTGGTTACTGGTTCAATCTCTGTGAGCCACTATGAGCCCAGGTTAGTTGATTCTGTGGTTTTCTTGTGGTGTCCTTCGCCCCTCAAGCTCCTATAATCCTCCCCCCCTCCCAAGCCCATCACCTCTTGCACAGGATTCCCTGAGGTCTGCCTAAAATGTTTGGCTGTGGATCTCTGCATCTGTTTCTATCAGTTGCTGGATGGGGTGTCTGATGACAGTTGGGCCAGGCTATGATCATTGAGTGCAGCAATAAATGCCCTTCTTTTAATATATATCTAAAATTGTCACCTGCACTAAGGATATATAAGTGAACAAAAATTAGTGGATATTGGGGAGCTGAGGTTCTACCATAGAGGGAGGCACATTAAAAACAATTACAAGGTAAGTTATACTTTATGACAGAATGTGGTAACAA